AAGATAAGATAAGATAAGATAAGATAAGATAAGATAAGATAAGATAAGATAAGATAAGATAAGATAAGATAAGATAAACCTTTATTGTCATTGTACAGAGCACAATGAAATTACAGTTCAATTTGGTGAAGAGGTGTTTAAAAATGTTTGTCAGTAAGCTCTGAAAGTCAAATTATTAAATTACATAGATTGATTGCACATAGAGTGAAATATTTCAAGCCTTAATTTCTTGCAATTTAGATGATCATGGCTTATAAATAATTTAAAAATATATATATATAACCGAATAGTGCTTTTTAAAGTGAGGGTTAAGAATGTGAGAGTAAGAAATTGTTTGACCTGCAACTTCACAACAAAGGCAACATTTGTGTTCACCTGGGTTGTAGTTGGCAAAGGCTGCCAGGAAATCCTGATCCCCGTCTGACTCTGTCTCCAGATGCATCTCACACAGACGACTGAACATCTCTGAAGACAGGAAAGACAGGCTTCAAAGCTAAAAAGAGGCGGTCAGCAGGCAAAAAGTGAGATCAAACCAAGTCTTCGGATAACTCACCCGAGTTCCTGGTGGGACACGTGTTGCATTCAGGCCCCCAGCCTCGACCGTAGTGACAACAGCACTCCGAGTAAGTCACCACCACATCGATGGGCCGGCTGCAGATGAGACCCTCGTCAACCTGCACGAAACACACATCTTTGTGTGCCGCGGTGCGATCTAGACCAGAAAAAAAGGTGAGAATTTGTTTTTTGTATTCTCCCTTCCTTTCATTCCAGTGATAATCAAAGAGGGGAAGTCCTAAAAGTACAAAGTTAAAATGTATCCAGTGTTGTTTATTGGTAAACAGCAACTCTAGGATCACCAATTCAACTACAGGTGACAATACAATCAGTTGTTTCAAACCACCAAAATGCCAATCTTGTGTGAGTCCTGTTTTGTTACAGCTTGATCTGGACCAGCTCAACACCCTTTTAATAATCCAGTTTAGCCACAAGGAGTGTGCAGACTTTTTCCTGGCACTGTAAAGGTTTCTCTTACTCTAAATTGTGTTAATGTTCATTAGACACAAAACAACTGTCTGCGTAGCAGGATTACACAATAAAAGCTAAAAAAATAAACCCATTCATGCCAATTTACTGTTTCTAACTTTCTAAATGGGTCTAAATGTCTCGTGGACAAGCCAGAAGACTGCTGGAAAAGATTGCCTAAATCAGATTTGTTTTTGTTTACAAGAGAAACTATCTTTGAAAGAAAAGGAAAACACTTTCATCCTGTACAAGAACTGTAAGCTTCCATCTGTCAAACACAGTGGTGTCCGTTTTATGTTTGGACCTGTTTTGTTGCATCGGGACCAAGAAAGCTGGTCATAACTGAAGGAACATTTTCCATTCAATGAGCAGATTTTAAGTTTGTGTTCATGTATCATAAGTCTGTTTTATTAATTGCGTAATATAGACAAATCAGTGTTTAGAAAGTGTGTTAAGTAAAAAGAAAATTTTTGACCATAAAGCCATTAATGGCTTAATGGAACACAAGATTGGAGGAACTGTAAAAGGTCAACATGATGGGCAGGCATGGCGGGAAGGCAAGCCGGTTTTACCCACCGTCATAGACGCACTGTTTCAGTGCTGCGCTGAAGGTGAGGGGAGGGTCGCAAAAACAGTGAAAGGAGCCCGGCGTGTTTTCACACCTCCCATTCTTACAGTATGAGGGGTCCTGGCACTCATTCACATCTGCAAAGGGCACCACAGACACTGGTTACAGTTTGAACATCTGGATGGGGCCAGCTCTTAGTCTGCAGGTGATCAACTCAATAACAAAACCAAAAAAAAAAAAAAAAGCAATAAACTTGTCCTGTAGTAAATTCTCCATTTAGGATGCTTTCTGTACTTTTAAAATCAAGATTACGTGATAAATGTAAAGCTCAGCTCTGAGCTAATTGTTGAATTTGGTGTGCGTTTTAAATTTTTTTCCAGATAATGTTCTCGTGTCCAACATTAGCTTAACTTCACGTGAAGCAGTCTGTATGACAACATGGTCACACACAACATTGCAGGTGATGTTGAGTCGAAAAGCAATGACAATGGGATAACTGCAAGGTTGAAACTGTATGTTTGGTTCCAGCAGAACTTCAGTTTGCCAAAATCTTTCTTTAAAACAGAATGAATTTCGAAAAAAGAATTTAAAAAAAGTGTAATAGTTCAGAGCATGGGGTCTAGTGGGTGTTTTGTGTGATTGAAGTTTGAATTAAACTATAAATTATGAATTATGTCACTATACCAAGGGTGGTGGTGGTAATGGCAGGAGTTCTCTTTTAATTATTTTTTTTCAGGATTTTTCAAACTTTTCCAGTTTTGACCTTGTCTGCAAAACTGGAAATTAAAAAAATAAAATAAAACTTATGAAACTAAACTTTCCAAAGTGAATATTTTTTAAATCAATGTTTTTCTTTAAACACTTGTGGTGTCAGGTTGGGTGTGCTGTTCATTCCAGTGTACCCAACACAACCACACAGACTGACTTCTGAAAAAATGTTGGCTGAAGAATGTGATGCCATCACACTGCAGTGTGTGACCAGGCTGACAAGCAGCAAGAGGACGAGGTGTCAGGCTGTTGTGGCTGTATATGGTTCATCCACATGCTACTGAGGTCCTTGCTTGTTAAACTAATAAAATGTCAAATTAACAATGCAATGGTACTGTACCTTGACTTACAAGTGTCCCAACTAATGAGTTTTTCGAGATACAAGCTGTTGCTCGGATGATTTTGTGTTTTGAGAGCTAGAATTCAGGTTTATCCATTTGAACATACAGTATATCTTGTCTTTGTAGTGTATTCAACTGAAWATAGATTTGYAAATCATCATATTCTGTTTYATTTATGTTAAACATAATGTCTCAACTTCACTGGAATTGGGCTTGTACGAGTTATGATCTCTGTCAGGGAACAAATTAAACTAAGTCAAGGCATCGCCTTGTTTCTTCAGACTTCAATCATCCAATGAAATAAGTGACACCAAAAAAATGAGTCAATAKCAGGATAAGCTGTTTGGCACTGGCAGGTTTTTCAAGGGTTAAACCTTCTTATTCAACTCTGCTGCTCAAACCACAACTTCATTCTCCTAACAGCCGGTTCGGATGTTATCAGTCCATTAAATGGACATTCTTAGTGGTTATCAGTCCCATAGAATGGCTTCAGACTGTCCCGGCAGTGGGTTACCAGTGCCAAATACGTTGGAATGCAACAATCTGCAACTGCTGGAGTCCGGTCTACTTTATCGTAGTAGCCCATGTCATTTTCTCTAAAAGTAACCTTAGTGGCTTTATGCCTCATAGTAACCATATTGCATAAAAAACCTTAGTAGCGTTATGCTACATACTAACCAGCTGACAGTCTGAAGCCATTCTATGGGACGGAGAACCCACTAGGCGGCACAGCCGGGACAGTCTGAAGCCATTCTGAAGCCATTCTATGGGACTGATAACTGCTAATAACGTCCATTTAATGGGTGATAACATCCGAAGCCGGTGCTCCTAACAAATATGGTACCATTAAGAAGAAATTAACAGGCTTTCAAACTGTATAACATTTATTGCCAAGAAACACTGTTACAATAAAAAAAACTGTAGTTAACAAAACACAAATTTCCTCCTGTTTAAGGTTATGTCATCACTGAAAATCGGGCTTGGCCAATGCTGGACTTTATTTCCTGGAAACAGTTTCCTATCAGCATCTTTCCAGGTATTTCTTACTAAAATGTCCACTACTAATACTACTGTACAACCTAAGATCATGAACACTTTGGGAAAAGTTAAAGATTCAAWCATTTTTGATAAATTCCATGGCATGTCTGATTATTTGTGTTGGACACTTATAACCCCTTATTTCATAGGGCAAGAAGTCTTCAACACAACTGAAAGAATCCAGAACATCTGAAGCATCAAAAGAGCAAATCAAGGGCCATGTAGTGCTTCCAAGTCTTTTGTCTTTGAATTACATCTGTGTTTGAAAACCTGCAGTCTAACTGCTTTACTATAAAGGCCTTATTGTTGAAGGGCTACACAGATGGTTGCTCTCCTGTGAGATTCTTGGACCTCCAGAAAGAATTTCATTAATTGTGATCATTGGCTTCTTGGATACTCGTTTGATCAATTCATGCTCCAGTGCTTTGTTAGACCGAGCAGCCAGAACAAGAAAATTTGTTAATGGTTTGCAACTTTTTGTCAGTTTAAAAAAAATAAAAAACACTTTGTTTCGATATGCTTTTCACATGTAAAAGTTGTGGATGATTTTCAGTCTTTTTACACCAATAATTCTGAATAAAGTCATTTTAAACACTTTTCACCAATTTACAAATACCTCTAATTGTCTCTCTGCATATGTGACACCACACAAGCAGTAAATCCTTTGTGTGATTTATTTATTATGTAGCTCATGTTACTTTTCTTGACTGGCTTTTGGTTTTGTAACCATTCTGTTAGAGAGAGAAAGAACTCACCCGCCTGCTCCTCGGGAGTCACGCAGCTGTTGCGGTCGATGGCCAGGGTCCAGGGTGGAGAACAAATACAGTAGTACGACCCCACAGTGTTCACACATCTGCCATTCTTACAGTTCTCTGGATCGTCGCACTCATTCACATCTGTGCAACAAAAGCCGTGAAGTTCCAGATTATTCCACCAGAAACTGGATCAAAGCRGTTCAAGCCAGGAAAATAACATTTACTCACCTGCTACTGTCGCCATCACGCATTTCTTCTTGTTAGAGTCTGGGGTCCAGGGCCAGTTACAGACGCAGTAGAAGCCTCCTTCTGTGTTGACGCACTGACCGTTRTCACACAGAGACTCATCATGACACTCGTTCACGTCTACGAGAGAGCATGCAATCATTAAACATCAGCATGAAACTGCTGCAGAGTTTATGGTGTTTACCACTGAGGTTTTCCATATTTGACTTTCTGGGGGGGGAGTGTTTAAAGTGCCTGTGACATGCACATCCATTAAAAAGGGCCAAAAAACATCTTTATATTTAAGAAATTTGGCATAATACACATTATTTTACCCATTATGACACATAGCTGAGTATTGTGATTCGTTTCTCATCCAAGTAATCTCCAATTTGGCACGCTTCTCCTCCTGCATACTTTGTCCTAGAGCTGCCATTGTAATTTATATTTGTAAAGCTCCTGTACCAAATGATGGCTATGCCTTTTGGTGCCTGTACAACTTATATTTTTGGAAGTATTAATGTTTAATAATTTATAATGGGAGTCAATGGAGCCTTGTATTGGTCCAATACTGCCCCTGCTGTATCTACTCAGTACTGCACCATAGTTTAATAATATTTAATCTCAATAGTTCAGTGTTTACAATACTAATATGATTGTACTTTGATGTTTTACTATAATATTGTCCTAATATTGCTTTATTGTTGTAATATTTTTCAATTTAGTGACAACCATTATATTGGCAATGTGGTCAATTTCTGCACACATACAAACCAAACACTGGCCTCATTCTCTACCACAGCTCTAATGGTCTCATGGTTAGTGCCATGGMCTTTCATGTAGGAGATCAGGGTTCGAAACCCAGCAACAGTAACTTTAACAGAAAATCTCTACAAACTTCATATTGTCACACAATTACCCTTATTACAAACACCTGCTGACTTGACAAGCACAAGCTGGTGTAGAAAACACATTTGTACTTGGTCACATTTCATTCTGCAAGTCCACTGCTGCAGGAAAAGACATGCTACAAGGCAATGCACACTTGTTTTTACATCGTAAAAACCCATGTCTAGTTTCTTTTGAACTTTGCTCAGACAAAGTAGAACAGGAAGTGACATCAAAGGGGAACTCTTCAAGAAAGACATTGTTTGTTGAAACAATATTATTTGAACTCTGACTCTTTCTCATCTCTCTATTATAGTAATTAAAAAAATCTGAAGAAACATCAGATTTTTCTCTACAGTCTGTGTTGTTGTTGTTGTTGTTCATTCAATTAAGAAGGGACAGTGCAWATTACAGAAAATGCCAGAATTAGCCATGGAGGCTAGTTTTTATCTGTAGTCCCTCAAGGTCCTATGGATATAAATACAATACATACAAAACAACAAGTTACTTTCATTAAAGAGATGAAAAAATACAAATCCTAAAGATAAGATAAAAAGCAAGATTCAAAATAATAAAAATCCATTTAGCACAACAACAATTCAAGGCAATACATTAAAAATAAAAAAATGCCGGCCTTTGTAACAGCGCACTGTTCACATTCAGACATTMCCCTTTGACATCACTTCCTGTTACTTCACATGCAAATAGTTCAACAACTGTTCATCTCAGCTGCATGAAATGAAATTGTTTTTACATGTTGGCAATGTTACCTTTCCAAAAGTTAATTCATTTTTATTACAAAAATTTCATGTCACAGGCACTTTAGGATGGTGTTTTATATAAATCAAAGCATTTACCTATGCACTCCAGCAGGTTGCTGTCGTAGTAGAAACCTTGCTGACAGTAGCACTCGTAGCCTCGCAGTGTGTTTTCACAACGACCCTTTTTACAGATTTCCTCAGCAAACAGGGAACACTCATCAATATCTGCAGAGAAACAAAATCTCTTTTGAAAAGGTAAAATCATCATCAGCTTTTGGTAAAATCATAGACTAAAGAGGAAGTTCACTGGAATGAGAAGGACCCTACACACCCTCCCCTTTGGAAAGATATACTAGACAGTTAAACCAGTTCAAACAATCTGAAGCCTATTTTATATCCTTCAGCTGTGTAAGTTATCATCCTGGATCTACCAAGAACTGTTTGCTATCTATGTRTACATTCTATAGACACGAACCTCCATTGTAATACTGTTTCATTAGTGTGTATTACTGCCAAACTGCTTTCACTGTTTTTAGTTTGTTTCTAGCAATAATTTTGGCAGCTATTACAGTATAGTGCAGGGCTATTCAACTAAATTGCTCCAGAGGCCACAGTTAATGCAGACCAACAGCTCAGGGGCCGAACATCCAGCAATTAAAGTTGTTATGTAAATAAACTAAGTATTACAAAGATCCGTTACCTTTGAAATAGTTTATTTTGCTGTATTTAATCATGAAAACATACAGAACCCTACTTAATAACTGTAGTGAAGATTAAAAAGAAACATATTATGCCTCTTATATACCACAAAATATTTTGACATCTGACTTGCCAAAATTTAAAACCAATTTTATTTTAATTTTCATAGTTTTATCTTCAACTACTTGTAGTTTTAACTGTCTTGGATGTTTGTATAAATTGTTTTTATCAGCTTGTAGCCAAGGTTCTGACATTTCTGTAGATACCAAACATGTCTATGTTTAGCTAAAATAACAGAGTAATTAAAGTAGAAAACCGGGGGTTTGGGCTTAAGAGATGAGTGAACCAATTGGCGGGCCAAACTTTGGTCACTCGYGGGCCGGATGTGGCCCACGGGCCGCCAATTGAATAGCCCTGCTATACTGTATTGTTCCTATATTCTGGAAATTTGTTTTATACTCATTGCTATCTCAAAAAGGTGTCTTGGAAAACGATTTCTAAATAATAAAAGTAGAAGTTAACTCATATAAAACACAAACATAATCCACCAATAAGATACATGGCACAGCCCATGTTAAAATATGTTTAAAAATATAATAAATACTTTTTAAAACARTGAGTACTGCATGAACCCTACTGCAGTATTAAGTTTTAAATCACAAACCCTTAAGAAATGTTAGTGAGGAGCTGCAAATAGAAACTGTCAACTTCACTGGATTAGAACAAGCACGTATGTTTATACAAAACTGTATTAATGCAGTACTTTACCCCTGTATAACCTAGTTATGCAGTATGTGATTACTGGAAGTGAAGTTATATAATATCTACCATGATACGCAGGCAGGCTGTACTGGATTTGCTGCTCACTGTAGAAMCCTTGTCCATGTGGACAGAGGAAGTGGAACTCAGCTGGGTCGAGAGAGGAAAAAAAAACACAACAACCGTGTTTATCCTTTCTGAATGCAAATAAAAGCTTTTTTTTCTTCATCTTTCTTTGCACATTCCAGTGTGACTGTACCTGAGTGGGAGACAGGGCAAGGGTGGATCTCACAGTGATCTCCCCATCCCATCCCAATGGAGCAGCAGCACTCCTGTTTGGTGACGTTGATGGCCAGGACGCTGTCGCAGAACACCGTGTCGTCCAGGTTCAGGTAGCACTCCTTCTTCTCGTCTGTCAGCATTCGAACGGCTGCAGAACACAAGAAACAGACCGAAAACAGAGGCTACACTTTAACCGGTCTGTTTTTTCATCCCAATGCTTTGAAGTATGTGACATAATATAGGATATGACAACGTCTGAGTTATAGGATTTAGATTTCAAGCCTTTCATAATCAATTTAAAGTTTTGGAGCATGCAGGAATTTAATGTTTGACATTTAATTGTTCACAGAGGAATGAGATTCTGACACAGGAGCAGAATAAATCAGAGCAGGCTTACCCTCACAGCTGTGTCTGTCCTCTGAGAGGACATAGCCATGATTGCAGACACATACGTATGATCCAGGTCTGTTCTCGCATGAGCCATAGGGCTGGCAGAGATTCCTGTCTACAGCACATTCGTCAATGTCTGAAAGGAAAAAAGAAAATCACACAGGCTGCTCTAAGGATTTGTAGCAGTGCAAACCGTACCCGTATTACAATAAAACCACAGATAGTTTGAATAATAATGTTCTGTTTCCAATTTACTTCCTCTTTGACTATCATTCCTCTTTAGATAAATGAAAAAAAAAAACAGGAAAAGAGAAAATGATCTTTATTCTGTGTTATAAAATGAAGAAACTGACCTTGGCATTCCCTGCCTCCAACCAGGGTGTATCCCTTCTGGCACTCACATTGGTATGAGCCCATGCTGTTGATGCAGCGGCCCCTGAGGCAGCTTGATGGCCTCTCACACTCGTTRATGTCTTTCAGGGACAACAATAAAACAGTCAAATGTGAAGCGTGCGATGGTGAAACGGAATCTCTGACTCTTCCTCTACTAGTGTCAACACTTATCTGCAAGTGTTGGCTTAAAATGCAACCACTGCCCGGTGTGTGGATGATTTATACTGTGAGTAAATTGATACGTCTGTGTGTACTTTCTCTTCACGTGCACAAAATGGCTCCACCTTATAAATACAGAGCTAAAAGATGGTGTGGTCGTAGTCGAGAATCATACCGAAACATTACACTGACAGCTAACAGAAGAAAACTTTAGCAAGGCAGTGAGACGTGCAGTATGTATTCTTTCAGGAAGTGCTACTTTCTCCATATCAGGGTTGAGTTGTCACTAATGGGTGTGTTCAACTCAGGGTTGTGTGCAAGAAAAATCGTGCGCAACGTTTTAGTTTGTTTGTTCACAGTGTTTATACTTCTGCCACAAAAGTGTAAAAAGTTCTTTAATGACATGACATTCTTATATGAGAGACAGCAGATTTTCTGACATCTTTTTCTTACAATGAGTAATACCTGCGCAGAAGACGGGGGGGATAAATCAGCATCACCACCCACAGCACACGTAGCATGTAGCTAACCATAAAAACAAACTAGCTTTTTAATTTTTTTCTTGTTAACCGTGGAGATGTACGGAAAACGTGGCTGTCGGTTGCAGGTTCCACCTTGCAATTTTCAGCAAAATGAAAAGCAGAAGGATGCGCTGCGCAAAAACAAACACACCCACGGAGTTCCGACCAGTCACGCTCTTCGAGACACATTGGTTTGCAAAACAGAGTTCTGACTGGGGGCAATGTACAAGACGGGATGTAAGCAGGAGATGCAAGTTTTAAATTAGACAACATTTACAGTTTTTGAGAATGACAAATGTTTGCATTTGACGTAACTGAAGTAGAAAATAATCYGTACCTTCGCAGTGGCTGCCCTCCTGCGTGCGCTGGTATCCTGGGTAACATTGGCACTTAAAGGAGCCTTCCGTGTTGATGCAGCGACCGTAAGCGCACAGCCGATTGTCCTCACACTCGTCAATATCTGTTTCAAAATAACCATTTTTTWAAAGCACCTATACAAATGTGCAGATGCCCCACATTTATTAAAGAAAAGGCTTTTTATATGAGGATGATGGTTAAGGGTACTTACCACCACAGCTCTTGCTGTCTGCAGAATGGAGGAAGCCCTCATTGCAGAGGCATCGGTAAGTCCCAGGGAGGTTCTCACAGCGGCCRTTAGGACAGACGTTGGGCTTTAGACACTCATTAATGTCTGGGGCACATGAGGAAGAGGGTTTCGTTGAACTTAAAACAAGAATAACTTGGGAGACTTACAGTAAAGTCTGTCTATTTTAATGCTACTCTTGACTTCTTGCCCTCAAGTGCTTTTTCTTTTTAACGTTTTGAGAGTTTAAAGGAATAAACCAGTTTTTTTAAGTGTGATTCTGTTATAAACCTTTACAAACAAGGGTATTGCAGGAGAAATATTATGATAGTCTTTTTGGAAGTACCTCTGGGTACTTTATAAATGCTGCAGCTAGCTACTACTGCTATTTGTGCTTGCTAACAACCAGAAAATTATTGCAAACTTGACAGCAGTGTTAAGTTGAAAAAATTATTGTTTTCATGAACCTTTCAACTTTTAAGATTTAAATAGTTTTGAAATGGCAGCAATTTAATTTGCCATGATCCCACTCYGACTAGCCATAAGCTTGTCAGTTCAGTTATTTGTTGAACAAGCTTTATTTTTCTGCAACAGTTATTAATGGTTCACCCTTTTTACACAAACCCACTTAAAAGTAATTTGAACTTATGCTTTAAAAAAACACAAATTTGAGCAACAAGTGAATAAGTAATGAATCTGTCCAATAAGGATGGATGTTCCTACCATAGCAGGTGCCAGCGTGGGCCTCATAACCAGGTAAGCAAGGCATACACTCATAGGARCCAGGTGTGTTCTCACACTGCTCGTTGGGACAAGCATCTGAACTCAAACACTCATTAATATCTGAAATGAATGTGTGCAAATGCGCATGTCACAGGTGTCAGGACATTATAGTGRCAAGTAATAATAAATCAAAGGAATGTGTAGTATTTTGATACCTTCACAGGCTGGATACCGGTGTGACTTGGCCCTGAAGCCGCTGTGACATTCACATTTATAAGAACCAGGCAGGTTCACACAGCGGCCCCCCACGCCGCAGATGTCTTGTTTAAAGCATTCGTTCACATCTGCAGGACAGAGAGGTCAGAACAGGAAACCGACTTAAAAASATCCATTACTCGGCCCACTTACTGTACCTGTGCATTTAAGTCTTCCATGCAGCACCAAGTGTTTATAACCGGGACGACAGTGGCATTTGTACGTCCCTTCTGTGTTGACACAGCGGCCTCTACCGTGGCCGCACGGCTCCGATTCACACTCGTTATCATCTGGGCAGCAGCAGAGGAAAACAGGAAGAAACATGATGGAAACAAAGCTGCTGAACATCACATGCAGACAGTTCAGTGATGCTGTAAGGTGCTTTTTGGTCAAAACTACAGAGGTGGTCTAATTTTAAWTGATCTTTACACTCACGTGATGTGTTTGATCTAAAAAAAACCTCAACATTCAGGCTTGGATAAATTACAAAATGCACAACATAAATGGGTTTTGATGACATAAAAATAAATTTCAGTAGGAGAAGGCTGCTTTTTAGTGATTTAAGAAAAATAAATAATAAAAAACTAGCTTTTCTTTAAGGAATGCATATTGTTAGCCTGAAAATGTTGATTTCAGAATAAAATTTGTGTGTTTTGTCTGTATTATATATACATGCATAGCCATAAATGATCAGTTTTGACAGATATTGTAAAAATGGCCCATATGTTTATTAATATAGCTACTTCGACAAATTGCAGTCTGTCTTTGGYGAATTATTTTGAAAATATGGATGTTGTGCTCAATCATTTTCCTGTTGAYGCAGTGTGATATTTGTAGATTGACCTCGCACTTGCTCTGGAGTCCAGCAAAAATACGGCCAAGTCAAAACTTGGCAGATGGTTGTGCATACGCCCTGTGGATGCAGTGTAAATGCTCTCATTGACAATAATTGCTGCATTGTTATTGCAGTTTGTGCTACAGTGGAGCGGACGCAGTGTAAATTGGGGGATTAGATGCCTTGCAAACCAAAGTTTTAAAAAAGATCTTGAAAAATCWGTTAAAAGTCACAGTGTGTTTTGGAGACAACTCTTAGCTACAGTAAATTTTAGCTCGATATCTGTAAAACTAACTGAGATATAGCCCTTTGTGTGTTTGCAAAAGTTTAATTAGCTGTGGCGGCTATCTTGAATCAGGCTGATTCCAGAAACTAATCAGTTGAGGTGGAGCTACATGCAAATATCCATCAAGGATATTTGCTAACACACAGGAGGTTTCACTACTGCCTAAACTTTTATGGCAGTAAGCAAAAAAAAAGAAATCWTTTTTTTTTTCCTGGAACCAAAATCAGCTGTTTTTGTCCAGAAGAGTCAATCCCAAGAATGTAAATGAAGAGTTAGTTTTGTTTTCTCAGATGCTCTCTCTTACCCTCACAGATGTTCCTCTGCGGGTTCAGACGGTAGCCGGGGAAACAGTGACAGATGTGGCCGTTTGGGCTGTTTTCACACTCTCCACGACCACAAATGTTTCTGCTTTGCCCACATTCATCTGTCTCCTCTTCTAGGAGGGAAGAAATGGAGAATCATTTTCACAAAAATACACATTTATACATGTGCATTTTATATACATGTACATGTTAAACTGACCCATTGACACCCATCGAAATAGTTTTACTCAAACCTTTCAYATGGTAACAACCCTACAGTGGCAGTATTGTCCTGTAAGACTGAAACATACTCACAAAGTATTATAATAGCTTCCATATTTCCCAAAATCCAAACTGACGACGCTACTGTCAAAAACAAACCACAAATCCAGTCCACAGAGACCCCCCTCCCACAGGGCCGAGGGGATTTATAGCTAATGCCCCAGTATGGTTTATGTTAAAAAATTGTTTGCATAAAATTTCAAAAGGAGGATCAAACATAGTCGAGGAAATATTTTAAGTGATGTAATGGTGTTGCTCAATCCTTGTGCTAGGACTGTGAAAGGAAAAAAAAAGTTTTATCTAGAATTTCTGACAAGTCCTGGTTTAACCAATTTGAAGGTAAAGCCCAGGTTAAAGAGATTGGTTGTTTTAATGTTTGGACTGATCAATGTGTATAGCTGTAATGGACATTTCTCACGCCTGCATTCATTTCAAGTTGTCATTAATGTCTTTTGGATGCTATTTTCTTTGTAATRAATCAAAAAACAGAATGTGATCAAAGCCTTATGGCTGGTTCATGCTTCATAACTGATTGCACAACATGCGTAGTTGCCCAAAACATCAGCAGTTAATATAAAAAGCAAGAGACTTAACTAAAGTCCTGTTTATAGGAGAACAAGCTCTGATAATGTTAGCAATTTTCTATTTTTGATCATTGCAAATCAACATGAAAATAATCGTGTTCACACAAATCAGCTGTAGTTTCCAGGCGCAGCTGCCATTGTATTCTCCAATATGGCAATACTGGTGCCAGATCTGGAGCTGTGATTTTCGTACGACAGGCTCAGAGACTTTAGTCTCGAGAAATAAAAATAGTTACATCCAAAATGGTGAATACACAAATGTTTGTTTGCACCGAGGATGAGGTTAGTTTGCTCCATGATGTTGGAGAGAGTGAGCAGCACAAAMAGCACTYTGCTATCCACCATTGTTAYTGTCGTTCAACTATTCGCACAAGTGCAGAAAAACTATTGACTGCAGCTGTTTTGTTTTTTTTTTTTTGCTGCGAGGGGTTTCCAAAAACCTCCACTCTGAGACCTGGATTCAAAAAGCTAGGGTTTCAGAGAAAACTGCAGAAAATGGCCGAAACGCAGCACAAAAGCTTTGGTAATCGTGTAAACTGGACCTTACAGTACTCATTTCTTTAGACTTTTAGCTTTAGTTTTAAGTTTTGAAAGTTTGCAGTAGTAATTTTTTGAGCCATCATAAATAAATGCTATTTGCTGCACAGAGAAAGTCAACATTTCATATGGGAGAAAAGCACCCAAMTCTTATAACACTGGGGGGAGTGTGGAGAGCTTGGTTTCCCCCCAAAAAAATATTTAGTGAAACATGAACCAGCTTTTCTATATATCTCATCACAAAGTAAACACAGAGTTTGTGTGAAACTCACGGCTATATGTCACTGTTTCGAAGGGGTCATTGCCTGGGGGGATTCGGACAAGCGGAGGAGGGGTGGGCTTAACAACTGTGGATCCAGCAGAGGAGACAAGAGGCGGACAGACTTTAGGAAGACATGTTGAGCTGACGAGGACATTTATTTACAATATACTGTTTGTTTTCATCAAGACAGAAACATGCCCCTCGCTGTGCCGGCAGTAAATATGATGTCATCACGTTTAGCATGTTTCAGTTTCTGTTTGAAGGTGAAAGCAGGTGTGTTTACCGGGTACACGTGGACTGACAGAGGCCTGCTGCTCTGTGGTCGGGTCAGGAGGCTTCTCCTAAAAATAAACCAAGTGTAAATCTCACACCAGTCAAAAAGATGTAATAAATACAAAGAGATATAATGCCTTACTGTCACGAGTGGTGCTGAAAAATGAAAGGACAGCAAAAAATTAGGACTGTGAACTCACTTGAGCTATAATGAGGTAATATTTGAGGATTTTGAAGTATTCAAACACTCACGATTGGGAGGAAAGATGATGGGAGGCAAGGCAACAGTTTCTGTTATACTCTGAAAAACGTAGCCTTTCCCTGCAGGGCAGATCTGCATGAAGGCCGCTTTTAAAAAAAAGAAGAAATGTTTTTTTTTTTTTACGTTTTTTTATTTCACTTGTTACCTTGTTTTCCTCTGAGACGCTTCTGCCAGTATTTTCCTTTATTTTCCATTTTTAATGTCTCCTGCCCAGTCGCACCTGTTCCTGGTTTCATTAGTCACAGCTGCAGCCACTCTTCCCATCAGCCACAGACCATATTATCCTTTTGTCTCTCACAACCAACCAGTGGAATATTATACATTCTCAAATCCAGTTTTCCTCTGTGTTCTTCTTGAGCTGTTTTGGTAAGTTGCCTTATTTTTTTATTTTATATATATATACACATATACATATACTCAAGCTCATTGTGCCTGTCTGCATTCCTGTGGTCTACTTCCTTTACTTCCATGACAAGATCAGCCCTACAAGATTTGCTAAGGTTAATCACTGCAAAAAAAAAGTTTGGATTATTATTTTATTTTAAATAACTTAAAAAAATCATGATCTGATAATATGTCTTATATTTAATAACGCAAAATTTGTTTTCGCTTTTTTGGCAAATCCACACATACAATAAAGAACCTTCAAGTTTTGTTGCAAGTTACACAAGACTCAGGAAATATTTGCTGATTTTGGCATAAAAAAGTCTAATTTACTGTAAACATATTTTTCTGATTGGGTTCTTCTTTAATGAAACATTTCGTCTCACATAGTGGATCAACTTGTTTACAGGTGACACTCAGAACTAGTTGTTCACATGTAAAAGAGGATCATTTGTTAGATTTTTCTACCTGGATTATTGAGCATGTATCAGGCCTGTAAACACAGTTGCATACATGCAGGCAGATGTCATCATTAAAAGATCTTAAAATGCRCTGACATTTTGCTCATTTAAGAACTCACCTGTGCCCACCTGAGGACACATTTCACATTTATTGCCCCAGGCCTTGCCCACCGTGCAGCAGCACATCTTCCTGGTGATCTGGTTCTGCAGAGGGTGCTCGCAGCCCCTGGCCTCAGACACTATCCGGAAGCACTGAGCTTGCTCAGGCAGAGACTCTTAAYGGAGGACACATCCAGGTGAGTTTTATTCATGACAACAGTTTGATGAAAAAAAGAAAAACTAATTCTCAGTCTGGAAATGAAAAAATAAATAAATCTCTGACTCACCAACACACCGATTCCTCTCCAAGACAAAACCCGACTTGCAGGAACATTTGAAACTGCCCAGAGTGTTGAGACATTCTCCGTTCTGACAGACGCCCTGCAGGGAGCACTCGTTGATGTCTTTGAGGTTCAAGAGGAAAGATGTGACAAATGAAGGATTTGAAGTAGATCGAATTTAGCAGATTTATAACCAGGAATCAATGGTTTTAAAAGCCAAAATAAAAATGCTAAAAGCAAGTTGAAACCTGAGCCAGTGTTACCTTGGCAGTGAGTGCTGTTAAATCTTTTATAACCTTGTGGACAGGTCGAGCCGTAATCTTCTACAATTGTCTGTTTGACTGATGGATCTGAAGGAGCGCAGAGACAGAGAAAAAGCAGTTAGGAGGACTGCAAGCAGATCAGACGAAACAAAATAAAAAAGCTACATTCACTTTTGAACCAAAAGCTTATTTTTTTCAGATTTTTATTTTTATTTTTACACATATACAGAAAACTTCCATCATATTTTATCTGTGAAAAAAAACCCAAGACTATCAAGGCATGAGAGCACGTRTCAAACTGTGGCCTGTCACAGCATTTTATGTGGACCACAAAAGTTTTAAAGGGGAAATGAAGTGTTTTAAAGCTAAAATAAATCTAAAAAGAAAAGAGGCTTGTGAATTTTAAACTGATGCATTGTCTTAAAATATGTGTATTCTGCTTTAAAGCCTRCATTGACCATGAACTACATCTCCCATAATGCATGTTGATAAATTTACCTGTGGAATGATGCCATCCCACCACTAAGCAGAGGTGCATAGGGTTCAAAAGTAGCTGTCAGCAGGCAAAGTGTAAAATCTCCATTATGCTGCATTTTTGCTGTGATAGTTGTACTGGGAAGTGGGAATTTCCCACTTACAAGTCATGTATTCAAACTGGAATGCCCCTCCAGTGGGAATTCTCTGTCAGAAAATGAGAGAATTCGGAATTCAACATGGCAGCTACTCACCACAACTAAACAGTGAGTAAAACTCTCCTACTTTCACTTTTAATAGTATTTCTGTTTTACACATTTCAGATTCAATCAGTTGTACTCGTAGTACTTTTCAGTGTTTATAAAAATGTGTTAAAACACTGTTTCTCTGCAGGAAATYCCACATAGAGCTCAGTTTGTTAGCGGTGCTCAGTCGGAGCAATGAGACAAGTAATGTGAAGCTTAGTCAAAGTTAAATACAAAACATTCAAGTTAATTACAGCTGGCCCTTTTTTAGGGCCACCATAATGCTCATGTGGCCCTCTGTGAAAATGAGTTTGACCCCCCCAYACCCCTCAGCTTAGACGAAAGTTTGCAAAAGTGAAAAATGTTGATTTTGATTTGAACAATTCAGTAAAGCACAACTGTTTTCCTTCAGATTTGAGCACAGTGAGGCCTGTAGGGGCCTGCTGCAGGACGGTCTGGCTTGCTGAGAGCAAAAACAAAAACAATTGCCACGATTACATCAGCCAGCTGACTCTATCCTAATTTGCAGAAGTCTTGGTATGCTTTGTGGTTTTGCTTCTTTGCTTCAGTTTGATGCAGAGCTTATTGACTACAAAAAAAGCAAAGATATTTTTTATCCAACAAGAGATCCTTTTATAGAATTGTCTGAAATTCCTGGTTTGAAGTTCTGCTTTTCTCCCTTTCATTTATGTACTATTACCCCAAATCACAAAATCAGAGCAAGATCTGTAGAATATACATAGGCAGAAGCTAAAACTGAACCTCAAACAAATGAGTAAAATAAAATTTCAATCAAACAAATGCATTATAAAAATATAAAATTAGTTAAAAAAGTGAAAATAGTTATTAAAAGCCATCAGGCGAGTACAGTTATGGACAAAAAGAAAGCCCAGCCTCTTTTAATTTCAGGGCATTATGTGTCACTACATAATAAAACTGATCTGCTTTTTACTGATTAAAATTTTACCTCAAGTGAACACAAACACAGAACAGATTCAACCATGTTTTAAATGTTTTTTAAAAAATGAAGCCAAAATCTGAAAAATCTGTTGTGTGTGTTTTTACAACTATTTTTTATGTCCTGATACCTGATAGAACTGAAAAAGAATGGACTTTTTGTTCCCATGACTTTACTGTGGATTTTATTTTTATATCAAAAAACAGACTTATGTAGTTCACATTATTTTTTTATATCCTTACAGGACAAAACAYGTTGAGCGTTTTTAATAAATAGGTTTTATATTACCATAAAACACAGCTGAACTAATAATACATATTTTTCAAAGTGTTTTATTCTTTGGCTCAATTTTAAAATCCCAAAAAGATTTTATTCATTGTATTTGTCTTCTTGGTTTAAWGTAGCCTTTGATGAAGTTTAGCTTGTAACAGAATGTGCTAAAACAACCTTTCATGAGGTCTGAAGTCATAAAATTCAACATTTTTTCTTCCTATTCTTAACTCCTAAAACAGCAGGGTGATCTTTTTCTTCCCCGCTGAAGAAAAAAAAAAGTTGTATTGCAAAGCTGTGGGAACGCTGCACATTTCAGAAAAGCTGAATAAAAAAAAAAGATTTTTGGCTCACCTTTCTTTTCTTTTTTTTTTTAAATGGAGGAGTTTAACAATGGGACACACATGTAACAAAACTGATGGCTCGCTGAGAAAGAACCCAGTCCTCTACAGAAGAACCAGACGTACAGTATCGGGTTTTATCAAAGGCTACATTGTCTGAGCCAGAACTGAGAGATGGAATAATAGTGGAATGGAAAAACGTGAGCAGCCAAGATTTTCTTGAAATTTGATCTTCAGTGGAGTGATGACAGTCCTGCACTGGGCAGGCACACAGTTATTTTCCACACACTCTTTTATTTTTGTCCCACTGTCTGTGTGCGATTCTTACAATCTCCCCGTTTTTCTCCTCTTTTAAATATTTCGCACTCTTGTTCCAACCCTACTGTTCACTTTCATGTAYGCTTTTAAAACAACTTTTATGGGACTGTAAAACGTCACTTTTAATCTGGGGTTATAATCTCAGAATGTGGACGGTAYGAACATGCTTGACATTTTTGGCTCAGCAAACAATAATTTTATGCCTGGAACACACAAGATGTTGCACAGATAAAAATATTTTTTCACCAAACTGTGCTGCAGTAAAGTAAATATTTTACACTTTAAATCATATAAATGGAAACAGAATGGTCTGATTCACAGATTTCATATTGAAACAKTCAACATATCAACTGTTTACACAAGCAAACTGTACCATTTTTAAGGCYCTGACACGTTACAAAGCTTTACAACAGACAACTCACAATGACTTATGAACATTTTTTGACTAACTTACTCATAAAGKTTATCTATTTGATCCAATTTCTGTCATTTCAGTATGAATACATCAAAAAATGGTTTCCAGTAGACTTTTTTCTTCCATCTTTGGTGTAGACATCTTTAGCGTTGGATAAAATGTTCATAAGTTGGCATCAAAATCTAAACTTAAAATGAYCATTCATGCTTTCATTTCTTCTTGTTTGGTTGACTGAAACGGCTTGTTCACAGTTTTAAAGGGAGGGTGTTCTGCAAAATCGACTATTTTGAGCTTTATATCATGTTATATTACCATTCCTTCATATTGTAATTCCTTTAAGAAAAACACACTCAGAGTGTTGCTTTGACTTATTCATGCATGTTTGAGAAATCCTTGACTCTCCTGCAGTCGTGTGGAGCTGCCTGAACTCTTGCCGGTACAAAGCTCCGCCTATTTACATGAAGCTCCGCCCCGGAGCTCAGTTCTGCATCCGAGCTCCCGCCCCACGGAGCACCCTTCCCCCGAAGCATTGTTTCAAAGACATGGTGAAGTGGGAATGTCAGAAACGGTAGGATTGCATATATACATATTGTGACAAATGCACCAGTAAAACAAACACACTTAACCAAAACACAAGTTATTCTCATGACATTTATAGGTTATTTAAAGGTAAATTATTTTCAATCGGGCTTGGGGTCCTTGGAAATGTTTCTCCTCTGTAAGGAGTCCCCAAACACAAAAAGTTTGAGAAGCCCATATGGACGGTGGGATATTCAAAGTTTTCTGTTAAAAAAATTGCAAAATTTGATGCTGTTTTTCACAGACAGGTGAACCTCTACCCATCTTTMCTTCTGACATTTTCAATCTCTCTAAAATACTCTTTTAATGTCCACATTTCCTACTTATAATTAAACTAATTAGCAGCAAAATATTCCTCCAGCTGTTTATTTAAACCACTTATTTTAACAGCCTTGGTACAATCATACAGTTTCATATTTTAAACATTTGTTTTGTTAAATATTTTCCATAAAATATGAGYCTGGGAGGTTTGCAAATTATTGCATTCTATTTTTGTTCACATTTCAAACAAAATCTCAACTTTTTCAAAAGCGTATGATTCCTACAAAGCTGGATTTAGAACAGCCTGTACATGAAATTAATCATCTCTTGAACTCACTTGGTAATTTGGGGCACTGATAACACTTGTTTTGTCCCCAGGAGTTTCCCACGCTGCCGCAGCAATCTTCTTGATTGGTCAGAACAGGAAGTGGGGTGCTGTTGCACTGAAACAATGCAGACATGTTATTCAGATGCTTCTTAGGCTGAAGACGGAGCAAAGCGAGACGTGAGGTGAACTCACAGCCTGTTTGGGTGTGGTCTCCTGAAAGCAGCGCCCCTTGGGTTTGTGTCGTGACGGGATCTGCCACAGCCCTGTCTTGTGAGGAGGCTTGGCATCCGACTGGTCGGGAGGCTGAATGACGACTGAGGTGTCTGGTGTGTGGTGAACACGAACATTAATCTGCACTGAGAACAGAAATAAAGCTAATTGTTTTTTATGCCAAGGTTTCAAACAAACWTCTTGCGCAATCTGTTAGCACTTTAAATATGTGCTGCAGTCTAAGCTACTACCACAACAAATCTTAGCTTAATATCTGTAAAACCGTTTGATTTATGGCCATGTTTGCTAAGAGCGATCACCTGAAGCAGCCATCTTGAACAGGTCAAACTCAAGTTAATCAGTTGTAGATGTGCTTTTAATATGTTCAAAGWGTTTCATTTGAATTMRTCCAATCTTTCATGAGATATTTTGCTAACAGACAAACAGGGTTGACAGCATCAGGTAATGTCAAGATATTGTGTAAACTGTTAGCACTTCAGGTATGTGTCAGAGATTACTCTCAACTAAAGCACTAAATTGTAGCTCAACATCTGTAAAACTGTGTTAAAACCCTTCATGCGTTTGATGTGGTCAGTAAGCCATGACGGCCATCTTGAATGTTGGACTCCAAATATTAATCWGTTGTGGATGTCCACCTGAAGATGACTTTCTGAGAGTTTTATTRCAATTGGTCYAGTGGTTGGTGAGATGTTTTGCWAACAGACKGACAGATGAAATCACATGACCGGAGGAGTGAGATGCACCAAAACCAGCATACCTTCTGATGAGTGGTGCCCCGCTTGTGACAGAGGCAGAGTGAAAACCGAGTGCGTCTGTGTGAGCTGAGTGCGCCCGACGGCTGTGTGCTCCACCAGCTTTTGGCCGTCTGGATTCAGAGATGCGGGGTACACGGGCTGCCGGTTGCCGTGGGCTGCCTGAGGCTGCTGGAGTGGAAACTGGCAGAGTCGGCCAGTGAAGCCGGGAGGGCACAGGCAGTGCTTCCTGGAGCTGCACACCCCTCCGTTCATGCATGTCAGCGGACACACAACTGCAGGAAGACACAGATGAAGCAGAGAGGAATTCAACAGACCAAAACAGGCAAGGGATTTATGCACAGTCATTATTCAAAAACTGTAGAAAGAAATATAATTTTGAAGTCCAATGCACAATGCTCAACTGATGAGTGTGATGAAACTGAAGAGCTAAGGACTGAGGCTGAATTGGAGACAACTGAGCCTAATGGGACAGAGAACAGGTGTGAGTGGGTGCAGGACTGAGGAGTGAAAGCTAACGATGGCAGGAAACACAGGAGGCAAAGAATCAACACGAACACAAGAAAATGCAAAAACATAAGATCATACAAAAATTAACATTGACATAAAAAACACTGAACAAAACATGGGTTATGAAAAATCCRTGTATGGTTTGTTCTTTGGTTTTTTGTTTCAAAACAAAATTGAAAAAAAAAAGACTTTTTCTTTTGTTTTTTTATTTTTAAAACCTAAGTGTAAATATGGAAAATCAAACTAATAAAAAAATCCACAGTGTTGATTTTTGTTTCAGCTCTGTAAACCCAGAATATTATATATGGTTGTTCTGATTTGTAGCAAAAGCGGAAATGACTTAAGTCGCCAAATAAGAGGAGTTTATGTGTTTATGAGTTTAATGGCTGGAACAAGGGTATAACTTCAGGTCTATCATTGGGAGGGTTGTGCTCTAAAACTCTGCATGTCATTTTTTCAATTATGCTTAAACAAACATATACTGTATGACATTGTAMAGTTTTAAGTTACCGAAAGACAACAAGAGAGTTGCATCTGCCTACTTGAAAAGTTCAATTATTTTGTGTTTGAGCAAATAATGTACTGTATTTATTTATGTATAATACTAGAAATTTAATCCTAAAAATCATCCATAAAGTGGAGGGGTAGTATTATACATTGGTTATTGATAATTAAATTTTAGAACTCAAAAAATGATGATTGTATTATACTCAAGATCATATTACACATGAACAAATACGGTGATTTTATTGGGGGGGGAGGTATTTTGACTTGATCAAATTATTGTGGGGGTCATAACCCCCTAACCCCCCTGCAAATTACGCCCATGGGCTGGAAGGCTGCTTAGAAATAGAACTTATCCCTAAAAAGACTGACAATGGCTGCATTTGAATCTTTTTCAGCATAACTTTTAAAATAAACTTTTAATACGATTTTGTAAAGCAAAAGAAATGTAAGAAACACCTGATGTATAGTTTTTTTCTTGTTTTATTTTGAAACAAGAAAACCAAAGAACAAATCCTACGGATTATGACAATATGAGGGTTTTTGAGATTTTCAAATCATTGCGTTCTGTTTTTAATTGACATTTTACACGTTTTTGAAATTAGGGTTAGATCAAATAAATTTTAAAAAGAATCAATAATTGTCCAATATTTAAGTTTGTCATATTCTTGTTTGATTGGCTTTTTAGCTAAGTTTGTGTTTCAATCAACCAAAAAAAAAAAGATAAAATTGATGTTATTTCATGGGTAAGAAGCCGAAATTTTTAAAACATAATCTACATTTAGTTACTTGTTCATTTCCTGCTCAGAAAGACTAAAAACAGACACGAGTACGGTCATAGTAAAATACTCGCACTGAAAGGCAGAAGTGTAAAAATCACATCAACTTGACAAACTATCGGTCCAACCGGCCGGCTGAGCAGGGAGGCAGGTAAAGTCATTCATCTGTGTCACAGCTGGGAAAGATCTTGAAGTCTGTGGGAAAGTTGCAGCTTCCAGAGAGGTTTGGTACACACACAGACACATACATATATATATGTATATATATTCATTGGGGTTTCACTGGGCCTCCTGTTGTGTTTATTTCAGTGCACTGCCTTTGAAATTCCCACAACAGAACAGTCAGAGGAAGAAGGTAAAGCAAAAATGCGGGGATGTGATGAAAAGTCCAAACAGAGATGATTTCAGGCAGTTTAAACCAAAACAATACAACAAGGTTGTGCTAATTGAGTTGCTGTGGAGAGATGACCTCATATGAGCATTTAAGTCACCCACAAGTAGAATTTCATTAACAGAAACATATTAACCCCATCACATGCTGAATTTTTACACAAATATGTCAAACAATCTGTTAGCGCATGTGCTGGTGACACATTTCAGCTCAGTTTCATTAAAACTGACTGAGCTTTTATCATTTTTGTGTTTGCTAATTAACTACAGTGACCATCTTGAATAGAGACTCCAAAACCTAATCACTTGTTGTGCAACTTTTTTTTGTTTTACTGAGAGTTTCAATAAAATTGGTACAGTGATTCAGGAGATATTTTACTATAACAGACAAAACAAATAGAAACCCACACCCCAAACAAGCAGCTTCATTCTTGTCAATAAATATATTTTATTGGAGTTTCAGTTCTGTGATCAAAAAACTAAATGTATACAACAAATACTCAAGAAAGACATGGGAAAAACCAGGTTAGCGTTAAAAGCGTGATCGAAGTTGGACAATAGAGTMGATTATTCAAGTGACGGACAAATAATTTGTGATCATTGTAATGATTAATATTAGAAATACACTATGGACATCACACATTACTTGCTCAGTAAAAAAAAAATCAGGTGTTGCCTGAGCTGAACAATTGCGGCACACATCCGGATAGAAAACGACATAAAAATATCATTACATCCATGAAAGACAAATTGACAAACAATAGATTTAAAAACAATTAAGCATGGGTTAAAACATGAATAATCTAAGAGATAAAACGAAGCTGATGGTGTTATTTCAGAGTTATGAAGCACAAAAGTAAAATACAGTTTTATCAAGTCCAGAACATCCTGGGGACAAATAAGAACATTTCTGAACCGTTCTTTACTGTAAGAATGATGTAATAAAAGTATTTAAATACAAGTAGAAAGAGAACCTAACAGTTTTTAATTGTTTTTAAAGCAATATGTGAATTTTCTATTTGTTTTAAAGGAAATGTATGCTTTTAAATTTTTTATTTTCATATTTAAATCATTCAGGTGGGGTCTATATAAAGTGGAACTGTTCCTTATTGTAACTCCACAAGCCCCCCTTTCACTCCTTTTCAGAAGTGTGTCTCAGATCAACCTGTTTTGGAGCTGTCTCTTCACAGCCCGCCTCCTCTCCAGGTCTCACTCCCAATGATCATTCTCCACCCCGTTCTGCCATCTTTGCAGTCTGATAGCAGAGATGCGATTAACTAGCGGAGCAGATTTACAAATTGATTAAAAGATGTCAACAACGTACGACATGTCCATCCAGCCTTACGTGTTCGAACCAGAGTCTGACCCAGAGCGAGAGGAGAATAAAGACGACAAACCTGCAGAAGCGTGTGCAAGAAATTAGCAGGAAATCTGTGACCTTATTTAGCAGTTCTGCAGCCAAATACTGTGACATTACTGTAGGAATTCAACTTTTCTCCACTCCTACAGTCTCCAAGTACACAACAAAATGTACTCAATGGCTAAAAAGTGGATTTTGCATGTGTCCACTTTAAGGAGATTCAACCGAGTCACACAAGAAGTCATGATTACTTTGTAACAGCATGATGCAGCATGATATACTACAGAGTGTTTCCAACTCTTTTGGTCTCTTCCTCTGTTGTCATTTGACATTGATTAAAATAAATATTGCCATTTAGTTCACAAGATCTAGATGTTGACTGCCAAAACACTTGGTCCAAAGCTTTTCCATCTCCTTCTTGACATCATCCCCACTTTTCTCCTTTACTTTCAACCCTACGTTTTGTTTTATTAAAGCATTAAGAGAAGAGGAGGCCCCTTTCGACTGGAAAGCCAAGTGTATACACATGGAAGAAATTAGGTGCGGACTGTCGAGGAGTCTGGGCTGTGGCGTAATTAGGAGACTAGATCTCTTCAAACACAGCGGGGCCATCATCACATAGTGAGTCTGGTAGAACAATTAAAGAGCCTCACTGAAATATCCAGCTACCAGAGTGAGGCGGTTTATTTCTGAACGTGGCTTGGATGATTCAGACGCAGCCTTTCAGTGCCTACAACACCATGTCACTGCGGCCTTTAACCACAGAGACTGACAGAGAAAAAAAAAAAACAGCTCAACTCGGCCAGACTTCCTCTGATATGAGCTCCAGTTTCCATGACTCGCTCATGGGTTTTGTCTCGGTTCGGGATCCAGAAAGTGAGGAAACGGGGAGAAGAAGAAGAAAAAAAAGTGGGGGGTCGAAAAATGAAATCATAGAGAGAAAAAGCAAAGGCGTTTTTTTTAAACTAAATGTTACACAATCTAAACCAACAGAGACAAAGGAGATGACAAACGGCGAGCAGAGTCTGGACTGAGGCTCTGTCAGGTTGGGAAAGTGTCTGATGCAGTTTGTGCTAAAAYTATTGAGCACAGAGAAAAGGAAGGGAATCAGGTTTCATATGTTGGATGAGACTTCTTGGGGTGGAGACAAGAATAGAATGAAGGAGACTCTGATGTTATGAAATAAGAACAGTGTGATTACAGAAACAAAGCACCTCAGATCACAGCTGATTCCAAGCGTGGCTGACCTTACACGTCACGTGTCAAACTCAAGGCCTGCGGGCCGAATGTGGCTCACCACTGCATTTTTATAAGGCTTCAAAATATGAAACAATGTCTAAAAATAAGCTGCTTTAAAGCAAGCATAGACTATAAACTACATTTCCCACAATGCATGTTGATTATTTTACCTGCAMAATGGCAGCATCCTACTGCTACGTGGAGCTGCACAGGGTTCAAAAGTGAAACGAAAAAAAGTGAAGCAAAATTAGCCTTTTTTGGGTATTTTTTTTTCACAGTCCAGTTGTACTAAGGAGTGGGAATTTATTCCCCTGCAGTGGGAATTCCCTGTCAGGAAGTGGGAGAGTTCAGAATTCAAGACAGCAGCTACTCACCACAAGTCAACAGTAGTCGTGTTTCCATCCAATTTAATGCTAATTTTGAGCAAATTTTTAAAATGTCGAAAAAAAAAAGGGAATAAAGAGGACCTGCAAATCAGACGTGTTTCTGTCTA